CATTGCATTCAGTTTTTATTCAGTTTGTTTAGTGTCCCAACTTTTTTGGAATCCGGTTTGTAGTTTTGTTGCCCACATTCAATTAAATTCAAAACTACTTGATTCATCTCAAAGGTAAATTCAGTGTTGTAGCTCATCATCCTGGTTTCATGAAAGAGTTGTTCTAGATGCTGATGGATGTGAGCAGGAAGGAGCTCTTAGCAGTCCGTCTCACAGTGGATCTGAAGAAGCTGCTGTCTACTTGGACTTGGGTTTCTCTGTCCTCCTGGGCATCAGGACCATCTGAATGTTGGGCAGAACTCCTCCCAGCAGCTTGTTGAGCTCCTCCTCGTTGCAGACAGACAGCTGCAGGTGCCGGGGGATGATCCTGGTCGTCTTGTTGTCACGAGCTGTGCTAACAGTTCAATATCTGGACTCCATTGTTTTTGCCACTTCTCTCTAAATCTCCATCTGCTCAAATGGTCATAAAGCCTGGCAGGAAGACGCTGGAGTCAGGGATTTGAACCTGCAGCCATGTCTCGGTGAAACACTGCATCCCCCATACTGTGGATGGGTCCTTGTTAGGGCTTGGAGTTCATCCAACTTGTTTCCCAGCTGTAGTTGAGATCTTTGAGCTTTGAGACGGTAATCAGCTGCTCCCGGTTGTAAAAGAAAACAACACCTTGTTGTCATGGTTACACATCATAACAAACGTCCAAAACTAAAAATTCAGTAAAAATCCTTCCGGCTGCACAGCATCTGATACCAGAGGAAACGATCGTCTAAAGTGATTTTCTTCCAGAAAAGAAGAGTAATTGAGAGCTGCTCCACCATGCAGCACCTTGAGCAGCGCAGGTCTGGAGCATCAAGCCCAGCAGCTGCCTCCAGTCTATCATTTCATTTACCTGAGTACACTTGGAAATAAAGATATGCAGATTTAGACAAGTTCTTATTCTTCCAGTTTCTTAGCCAGTTAGTTTTTGAGATTTTGATCATCCGTTTTGACCAGTGCACGTGTCAGACGCAGGCCTTGAACTCCTGAAGCAGGTTTGCAGTTCCTGTCATGATGCGTAACTTTTGAAAGAAAGAGTCTCCCTCCATTCTTTGAACCTGTTCTAAATTCAGGTGAAAAGACTGCAAGCTTTTCACCTCCCATGAGAATGTTGAGATCCCACTCAGACATCTCAAGATGATGCAGAGGACAGGAGGTAGATGGAGGTAGATGGAGGAGGACTCGCTGTGGAGACCCTGAAGAGGGAACAGCCCAAAGAAAAGGAGCAAGAAAAATTCAGGAGGTTCCCTCTTGAATGCCGTTTGCTGACCAGTCGCCTGCAGTCGCAGCCCCGGGAGAGACTACCGGTAGTTTAAGGGAAG